CACTTGGCCTTGTTGAACCTCATGAGGTTAATTAGATTAAGCTAGTCTAGTCCTATGGTTTAAAAAGCATTTTGCTTGCTATCGTTTTGTCCACTGAACGTTTTTTTTAAAATACTCTCTACAAATAAGGGTAGGAAGCATGCTTAAAACAAAATTAACCCAGAAAAATACCCTTTACCTTCTAGAATTACAGAAGGCAGGAAATCCCTGGCTCTTGCTGTGGAAAATGTGTACCAACTTCATGTGGCATCAGGCTGAGAGATGGAAGACTTAAATACCTTCAGGTAAGTTTGAAGCACTCTCTTTTACTTGTGAGTAAATGTAAATGTATCACAGACTTCTGGTGAACCCAAGGAAAGTGCATTTTTTCCTCTTTTTTGGTCAGGCATCCTGGTATTACTAGTGCCTTTTCTTTTATATCTCAGAATGGTTTCTCAAGAAAGATCATTTTTTTGTTGTTTGTAAATTAAAAAAGGAGACTTCAGACCACAGTGCAAAATTCTAAAGGGACATTCATGTGCAAGCATAAATATTATCAAGGAACTTTAACTGGAATATGAGCTTGAACTACTTAGAGGAAATTAAAAACCTCATTTTAAATGAGAATTGGATAATTTAAAATGAAAATGTGAATTTTGAAAAATTTCTCCAGCATGATAGGCTCTTAAATAGGAGTGAATATTTTTCTGTTTAAAACCCATCAGCTTGTCACAAGAAACAGCATATAACATTCTCTTTTATTTTGTTCCTGCACTAAGTTTTAGATGGGGAGAGTATGGGAGGAACAACAAAGGTGGTGAAGGGTCTAGAGAACAAGTCTTGTCAGGAGCAGCTGACAGAACTGGGTTTGTTTAGTCTAGGTAAAAGGAGACTCAGGGGAGACCTTATGGCTCTCTACAACTACCCGAAAGGAGGTAGTAGCCAGGTGGGTGTTTGTCTCTTTTCTCAAGTTAACGAGCTATAGGACAAGAGGAAACAGCCTCCGTTGTGCCAGGGGACTTTTAGATTGGATATTAGGAAAAAGTTCTTCACCAAAAGGGTTGTCAAGCAACCTTGGGAAGTGGTTGAGTCACTATCCCTGGAGGTATTTTAAAAGATGTGTAGATACTTAGGGACATGGTCTAGTGGTGCACTTGGCAGTGCTGGGTTAACAGTTGGACTTGATGATCTTAAAGGTCTTTTCCAACCTAAACGGTTCTATGATTCTATGTGGAGGGGATGGGTGTGGTTTTGTGTATTCTTTTAAAAAGAGCTCCCGACTCAGGAATTAAATATTCATATATATGTCTCTTTAAAAGGCAATTCATAGGCCAAAATCCCAAGTTTATCACTTAGACAAGTTTCTCTTTTAAGTTAATGGAAATTTTTTCCCTGTTAAGAGCTGAAAAAGGTCAGGTTTTGGCAGTATTGACTGAGCTGTAATCGATATGGCTATGGAATTAAATAGAAGATGATGACTGTTGATAAACAATTCTGTTTACTAAAGATTTCCATGTTTTATAAACTTCACCACCATGGTACATTAAATTTAAATATCAGTAAAGGAATAGTCAGGTTGTATAGGATTCTGAGTCTGAAAACTTACTGTCCCATGTTGTTTCTGTGTAAAGCTAACAGCCCTTAAATCTTTACAGCCAAATGAATCACTTCAGGATGGCTGTGATAATCACTCCTGTAAAGTCAATGAGAAAGGGGAATTTATCTGGGAAAGGAGAATCACTGGCTGTCCTCCATTTGATTCCAGAAGATGTTTGGCTGAAGGAGTAAGTAGTGAAATGGCTCCTTTTTCCAGGTTTCCTAATAGACTCTGTCATGTTTATGGTTCTGCATATAGGTACCTCATGTGTATTAGGGTGGCAAAACCCAACCACCTCCCAGCACCTTGACTAAGCTGAATTTGAACTTTCCTTGAAATTCAGAAAAAAAGTAAGTTTTCTTTATTTTAAAATATATGCTGGTTTTCTGTGGGACTATACTGCAAGAGAGATGCTGAGCTTGCAGTAATTCTGTTCCATGTGAAGCAGCAAACACAAGAAAATGGTTGCTCTCACAATGTTTTCAGTTAGGTACCCAGAGTAAAGCTGTGTGATTAATTACACAACTGAGAAAACAGTTAGATCAGCCCCTTTTTTCTATGAATATGTATATAAAACGCTCGGACATTTTTTCTCTGCCCTCGTTTGAGGTTAGGGAAGGGAATTTTCACAATGCTGTAGGAAGAGCCCAGACTTCCACATTTGCAGTTGTTTGGTATAATGGTGTAATAAAACCCCTGCTCAACGTGTCCACCCATCTTTCTTGTGATTTGAGGTTAGCCGTACACTGAGGAAGAGAGTGCAGGTTGGGGTGTAGCATGCGAGGTGCTGTTTTTGCTGATCTAGCATCACACAGGTGTTTATATCCACCTGTCCCAATTTTCCTGGGCATGACAGGATGCAGGAAACCTTTAACAAAGCTTGTGCCCAAACCTCTCTCAACATACGCATCAAGCACGTGGAGGATTTGATGTGTATAATGCAGGAATAATAAAGCTTCTACAGTGCATTTCTCACTTTGTGAAATCACTATAGCACACACAGTTGTGTAATACAAATATTAAAAAAAATTCTTGATTATGCAGGCTCGGTCTTATTATCATACTATAAAGGTCTTCATTATAAATCAATGAAGAATAGTTTACTTTTTAACCAGAACTTCCCCAACTGCAATTATTCTCCTCCTAACAAAAAAAAGATAATTATTTCAACTATAAAATTAGTGGTTTTCATCTAGTTACAGATGGAAAGTTTAGGGTCTTTAATTAAAAAAGCCTCCAAAGTTTTGCATGTAAGTTCAAGTGTTTAGTGCAAGAATGGTATCACCCTGCAGTATAAACATTTCTCCATTTTTTTCTTTCACTATGGGTTTTCAGTAATTTTCCACCATACATATATTTCTGATAATTATTTTCTAAGTGGTACTAATGAAACAAGAAAAATTTTTGGCTGTTAAAACTTATTTGACAGATGTGATATTTTATGATGACTTGCCTGTACATTTTCAGTTGTTGTGGAATAGGCATGCTTTCATCTATATTGCTAAAAAAATCAAGAGGGACTGTTTAACTTCCTTTCTTTGACAGACATAAGACTTGAATACTGTTGGTTTTATCACTCTGGTTCCCAGAAATTTATTTGTATTCAATATCTTCACTTTAGAAAGCTCCTAATATAAGGTGAAAGCAGTATTTTCAGGTGTTGAACTTGCTAACACATTAAATTATTTATCAGCTATCAATGAATACAGTCACAAGTTCAAAACCTTAAAATAGAGATGATTATGAACGTAGGTTTATACTTTTGTACAATATAGAAATACAAATGTCTTGTCTAGTACACTGTTTTAAACATCTCTTTGTATTCTTCCAGCAGAACAAATGTGTATTACTCGTGCCAAAATAGAAGTTTTCTTTTTTTATTGTTTTAGGGCAGAATTGCAAAAATTGGCAATTGCTGTGACACATGTAAGTAAATAAGCCAAAAGTCTTGTACGGAAATTGCAGAGTATAAGCTACTGGGTAAGGAGCTATGTTTTGCATATGATGGAGCTTAATGAGACAGAGCTAAACAATGTGGTTAAAATAAACCATCAAAAAAGTCCGGCCTGGGACTGCTGACTATCCTGACTGGGATACTGCTATCATGTTTTGTCCACTACACATGTTTTGACAGTATTCACAAGTGCTTAGGAGGAAATAGGTACTCTCCACATTTTCTGCAGGTGTTAATTACGAATATGTTATTTTATTGTTCAGCTGAAGATAACAGGTTGAGAAGTCATATAACCTGATACTGAATTAGTTAGGAAACTACTTCATGAATAATCAATCAACTTAAAATGAATTTAGCAAAAAAAAACCCCTGGTGGCAGTAACGTAATTCTGATTTGTTTTCCATAATGTAGTAAACAAAAAATGGTAGGGAGAATGCTTGTTAAAAGTGCATTCCTACTGAACAGCCTGACTGCATCTTAAATTCAGCAGTTTAGGAGTCAGTCTTGCAACTCTTAATTTCTTGCATCTTTGTGTAGATAATCCAAATATCAGTCAAGGTTGTGAGTGTAGGAAGATTTTACTTACATGAGGAAGGATTGCAGCGTTGGGTTCTCATTTCTAAAATGAATCTCTGATGCTTTTGTGAGCAGACAGCCTCTCAGTTTTCTCCTTTGTAAGTAAAAAATGAATAATACTGTAGGTCATTTTAAAAAAAATACTATCAAAAGATTGATATTTTCTTAAGGTCAGAATATCAACATCTTGCCTGTGTTTCGTTATCTTTCTCTTTTTTTTTTTCCCCCTCTATGCATGTGCTAATAAATAAAAGATGGCCAGCATAGCAGCCCATCACCACACTGGCACAGTAATTGCTGTAATAATACCCCTGATGAAGGATGTTAACTCCTAGAGAGTTTGCAGCCATTGCCTGTCTTTATAATCACTGAGTTCCGGCTTGGGAAATAGAAGTCAGAAAGCTATTGAGACAGACTGTCATCAAATCGCTCAAACGGGTAATTTAGTTAAGAGAGTGTTAATCTACCAGGCTTCAAGTAAGGAATACTGAAAATTATTTATTAACAAAACCAGATTTTAAGATTTAAAAGGCAGAGTGGTGGGCAGGCTCTACTGATTGAGAATGCCTATCACTGCAATTGAGGGGAGGAGAAACCCAGTTCCAAATGAGTACAGCTAAATATATATACTTATTTAACAGTTATAGTGATTTAAGAGTGATACCTCCTTGCAACAGCAAAAGCAAACTGATCTAAGTGAAATATCCTATGGCTAAAACCACCCATATTGTATAGGCCTTCACAACCTTATTCCCATTGATGTTTGCTTGGATATAGCTCAAAACTGAAAAGTCCTGTATTATAGTGCAGTCCTATTTCTGGTCGCTTCTCTATTCAGTGCCCTTCATAAGGAAAAAGCAAACATACTGCATCCAGCCATCTAACCATGGGTTATCAATTGAAGGATGGTGATTAACACATAGCTTTGAATTGAACAAATACTTTTAGATACCAAACTCTCTTCCTCTCTTCTCTGTATTTACATCTTTCCACCAGGGCACGTGGTAGCAACAGGCAGTCTGTTACATACTCTGCAGAGAATACCAAGTCTTGGCAAAACTACTGTGAAACCAGAGAAATGTAATTATTCTTAAAAGTCACACAAGAGAAAAATCAGTTTTTCATGAAGGCAGAGACTTAGATACAGGTTACATTGCCTTCTCAGGTCTTGAGAGAGTTTCTTTCAGACACCTCAGTACCATAAAGAATTGGGCAAAGTACTTGTCCTCTCAACTTCAAAGCATAGCTCAGGGGGATGCCTTTCTGTTCAGCAGAGTCCTACATGGCTTTGAGCTTTTGAGCTTCTTACATGGTTGTTTAAGAAGCCAGTTTCCCTTTCTATATTATGCCTTGGCAACTGGAATCTGTTAGTGTGTCTGAGGGCATTGTTTGATGTTTTAAGTACATAGGAGCACATAAGTGAACAGGCTTATTTTCTCATTAGATTTTTGTGATGCTTGCAAAGGACTTGTATATTTGCAAAGGATAGTCCGTATTTTCCCACTTAGGAAAGAAGTTGCATCTCCGCTTATTACCTCTTTTCCCTGCTGATCTCAGTTGCTTGTGTCTTGTTAAGTTATAGGCACTTGCCTTTGCAAAGGAGGCACAGTCTACCAAAAAAAAAAAAAAAAAGTAGTAAAGTAACTTAAGAACAAGTCGATAAGTCAGGATCAAAAAGGTGATGAAACTGTGATAAGTCTGATGACAATTATTTTGTTTGAGGTTTTCAGTTGTCTGGATGCAACTGTGTATTCCTTCCAGGTGGACAAGTTTTAAGAAATGAAGTGATGAAATCATTAAAAGAGAAATGGCAGTTCCAGCCTTGGAGCCAGAAACACTTTTCGTGTGTGTTGTGTGTGTTTTGTTTGGTTTTTTTTTTTTATGAAATATAAGGCCTTAGCAAGGCACAGAACCAATTTGGTACTAACCCATTCCATTGGTTAGCTAGAAGTGAGTAGAAGTAGGAGCCTGTCTTTACACAGAGGCATAGCACTACGTTAACACTACAAAGGACTGTAGTTTGCAGTGCATAAAATATCCACTTAAAAAGGCATTAGCTCCTTCACAAGTCTTTAGATGTGGACCAAAACAGATAAGAGTGTTGAGAACAAAATATTCTGGATTAGTCTGCATTTGAGGATGTCAATGGTAAGGTTCCGTTCGAAAGTGGAGGAGCAGAGTCACCATCAACTACCACAGTTAATGGATCATAGCAAACCAACCTCACTACACAAAAAGGGATCAGCAGATTTCCTGAGCTCCCACCTTCCACTCATAACAAATCCAGACCTACTGCCTCCTGTGTGGATTTCTTGCTAGATGGAAAAAACCCTACCGTTAGTAGCAAAAAGTATTGGAAAACAAGTATCAGAGTATTTCATGGCTTACTGAGGACAGTGAAAAAATTCCTATTGACCCAAAGTTTGCAGAATTAGTTTTCTAATTTTTTTCTCCTAGTTTTTCTTTTTGCCACATTAGTTTTCTGCAAAATCCACTACACGTTCAATCTAGGAGCCCAATAGAGGTGAGGCTGCCACAGCTCCATGTTGCCACATCCAGGCAACAGTGAAGCTGAGCATGTATCGCTATAGGAACACATGCAAATACATGTATACAATATGCACACACACATTCTTTATGTACACACATGCACAGAAACACTCAGTACTCCAGCAAACACAAACAGCACCCACATTCTCATCCTGATTCCCACGCTGGCTGATCAGGATGAAGGTCCTTAGTGGTCTTAGTCAGTCTGTTGAGTAAGTGGCCCTGCATCCCTATTAACCTAGACTTATGTGGTCCAATTCCAGTTCTTGGCACTTAAGCCTCCATATGTACACATCCACACAAAACAGTGTCCATCACCCAGGTCAAGTAGTTAGAGGTGAAATTTAATAAGAAGACAGGACAGTGATCAAACACAGGGCAAGGTCAGACAAACTTATGTACCAGCAGATGTTTAACATGCAAGCAACCCCCTTTATGACTTTATCAACCCATTTTCCCATGCTTGTTCCTCACCAAAGCGCCTTGATCCCTCTCTTCCCCCATCTTTGGTTCCTCCCTAAAAATCCCATAATAATGTCTTGTAAAATCCCAAAATGTTCTTCCCTAGCATCCCAGAATGAGTCCCATACAGTCGTGTAGAAGGTGATCTGGAGAGCTGCTTGTCTTGAAGGGCATCGTCTCAAGACAATGGGATCTCTCTCCTGTGACATCCCCAGGAATAGCCAGGTCAGGGTGTTCTGTTTCTCTGATTAGGTTGTTGGAGTTCCTATGTGTGTCATCTTTTTCCTGTGTGCACTTGCTTGCCCAATGTACCATTGAACTATCTAGAAATGGAGACTTATCTCACACAGAAGCCAACAGGTAAAAGGTAGACATTAGGTGGCTGTGTGACTTCAAATCAAAGCAGTCAACTGAAAAGAAAGATGAGGGAAACCCTGTTCTCAGTGGAGTTTTAGGGCTGTAGCATGATACAGTCACACAGCTCTACATTAACTATTCTAAGGAGACACATCTACTTCTCTTGTTAGGGCTCTTACCAGTAATGACATCTCACTAACAGCAATTTCAGTAATAATGGGAAGGGAGGTTAAAAAAAACAATTGGCAGTATTATCAAACACTTTTTCTTTTTTTTTTTTAAACTTGGTAGGTATGGAAGTGGAATGTCGACCAGTAAGTACCAGACTGCAGTATAGGAATATCAACGGATGTGTGGCTGAAAAGGAAGTGCCTATTTCCCATTGTGAGGTAAATAACAAAACCCACTCTCTTGCCCCAAGAACTGCCCTTGCCCTCTTTCTCTCTTCCACAAGGGAAACTTTTGCCTCCACTATGTCTTCACTTCAGTAAGTGGAGCACCAGTTTCTGTCCTTCTCATTGATTCACTCAGACAGTGTAAACCTTATTGGCACTGTTTCCTAAAGTAATTTGATGATCCTGAATTTTCCATATTCAAGCCAGCATGAAAAAAGGCACATACACTAAGGCATAAAGGCTTTGTTCATACCACTCTCCTTTGCTTCCATCAGAAGCATATCGCTCTTCAGGCTCTGAAGTTGATTTAGGACAGTGTAAATAGTTATTTAGATGCATGGTACTTTAACGGACATTTAAATTTGAGCACTATGATTTGACTTCGGTGCTTTATAAGCACTATGACTCCTCCGTTAGTTTGTGCACTAAACTGTTATATTCTGCATGTCTTGTAAATTTCTTCTATAATCAAATTAAAAGTTTAATTTCCTGACTATCACTGCTAACATCTTACAGAGCAATTTCCATTTGAAACAGGAGCATGGCTTCCCTTCTGGATGTTCCCATCTCTCTGAGATTAGGGACAAAAGATGACATTCTATTCTCAGACTGGGTTGTAGCAGGACAGCTGCTCAATCTAGGATAACCATGTTTCATACAAGGATCGTATACAACCCTTGTACATAATCCAAACTATAGCATGCAAGGATGGCAGTCAAGAAGGTGGCTTGCACCCAGCCCCTTAAGTGTTCCCTTTAGTTAAGGCCATAGGCAGAATGAGACTCTATCTTTCCAATGGCTGCTGGGAAAAGAATGGGAATAGGGAGGAAAAGTATTAAAAGCATACATGCTCAGGCTTTTCAGATAGCTACCTGGTAAAAGGCCTTCATTTTCTACACAAGTCTTATTAAGAGTGGAAGCTTTAAGAGCAACAACAAAAATGCTTACCTTTCATTAAAAAAAAGTTTAAAAAATTCTTGACCCCTTGTCCTGTGCATAAAATCAGTGGTAATCAGGTCTTTAGCCATAAAGTCATATATATTATAGTTTCCCCTGCAAAAGTAGATTTTATTTTGTGAATCTGGCCACATATTGAGTAAACTAAATGCTCCTGCTATAGCTGGTATTGAGTGCAGTTTTTCTAAAGTCCTCCCTGATAATGCTATGCAATTTTTTTGCATTAATCTCAGAAATAAGATTGCAGAGCCACAAAAAGAAATGGACTCTGGCAGAGTTTGATGTGGGGCCATTTGTTTTTAAATCATGAAAGCATATAGCTACAGGCATTGACAGCTCGGTCTAATTTAGTAGAGTAAGCAGAGAAGTAGAACAAGGAAAAATAGCAAACAGCAGGATAACAATGGATGTGTGGCTTGCAACATTTGGGCTAAAGCACTTTCTGAATGATCTCATACAGCTGAGACAATAACCACATGTGCTTAGAATCCAACACAACAGCCCTGGATATCACCTATGATCTTTTAAATTATAGGCTTTTTTTGTATGTGACCAGTTCTTTCACCTCTGCTTTGCTATGCTTATGCTCGTGAGACCAGCACCCCACACTCTGGTATCAGACACCTGTTTCTGAGTTTGTGATTTTACAGCAGAGCACTGAACTCCAAGTGAAGTTGCCCATAGATGTTTTGAAGCAAAGAACCTGGATTCTGATTGCACTGAGGTCTGGCAATATTCAAACTTGGTATCTCTTTTTTTCCATTTAGGGCAAGTGCAGAAGCAATACCAGATACTCTGTTCAGACGGGGAAATGGGAAGACCTGTGCAGCTGCTGTACAGCCACTCAAACTACTATAGTCACGATCCCCCTCCAGTGTGCCAACGGGACAGTGGTGCAACATTACATCCCTTCTGCCTCTCAGTGTGAATGCTTTTCTCGGAAGTGTACAGAGTGACTGTTTCCAAGAAGCTCAATTGTGTAATCTCAAGTTTTATGATGAAGGAACGTTACAGTGCAAGCCTCATTTTCTCTCTGTAGACTGTTTTATCCAGTAGAATCCTGACTAACTAATTGCATCAACATAGCAAACAATAAAACTTACTAGCACAATGGAGTATTTTCCGATTATTCTTGGGGTTGTTTGTAGATGAGATATTGCAGATTCTATTTTTCTCCTTCATCTTCACCACAGAAAGTAATCCACATTATCAAAAAATAAAAAAAAACCCCTGCAAAACCACAACACAGCAACAGAAACCGTTGCTTCTACTTAAAGAACATATCCCAAAACATTTAGCATTGTCTTCAGACAGTTATCTTCCTGCAATGCATATACACGTTCCTTCTGAAGCTGAATGCAAAGAAATTGCATGCTGAGGACAGGCTGTGTAACTTCTGCAAGTCCTCAGTACTTGTGAATGGGACTGAGGGACAGCTCTTACCTATTTACTTCAGCACTTCCACAGAACAACTTGAAGAGAAAGCTCATCAGTAATCTCACTTATTTCCAGATACCAGAACTTCATGTGTTGCATTAGCTACAAAAGTTTTTCAAAAGCTACAAAAGAGTTGTTTCAAATGCAGAGTTGTCAGTGGCAGTTTTAATTTAGTTACTGCTGCCAGGGTTAAATTTAGCAGAATTTAAATTCCACTTGGACTGGTCAAGCCACGGAAGACAAAAAATTTTCCAAAGGGTTGTTGGTCATGATGTAATCTAGTGCCAGTCAAGCAGTTTCACTGGGAAGTACTAATTTCTCAAAAAATATGAGAGAAGAAAAAGCATTCATTCCATTTGCATGTTGGCAAGACAAGAAATATTTAATCCTCCTATTGAATTGAGCTAACCTTTTTTTTAAAAAAATATATATAAATTGGATATAGGCATGTATTTAAAAAAAAACAAACACAAAACAAAACCACCTCAAACTTTCCATATGCTTGTGATGGAATCAGTGAGGTTTAAGAATAGGTTATGGGTGAAAAAAATCATAGTTTCTCCAGTTCTAGCAGAAGTGTTCTTGAACTAGTGAAAAACATATACAGAAGTCCTGAAGGGTAAGAGTGCTCCTAAGAAGCCTAGCAGAAAAGGTCAGGAAATCAGATTATCCTTGCGCAGTTTTTAGGTTGGCATGTATATAAATGAAAAGCATTTCAGAGGACATTGTCACCATTGCCCCTGGGTTAAAGGGAGGAAAGTTTTGAGATGAAGAGTTATTGCTCCTCACATGAATTCCAATGTCACACGATTAAATGGGTCAAAACACTTCCCCATCTGCATGAATGGCTCCCTTTGGGAGCAAACAAAAACTCTCTCTGTGCTTTCAACTAAAAAGGCAAATTGTATTCCTTTTTGAGAGGAACCAGGCAGACCCTTGCTTCTTCTCTTTTGCCATTCAGCTGTAGATTCAACACATTTTGAATTGTAGGCCCTTTTTTTCCCTTATTATTCATTCAAGACATCCTCTGTTGCTGGACAGTGCTAGGAGAAGCACAGGCCTTCCATGCATCTCTGTTTCTTTCTGCTATGGGACCACAATAACCCCAGGGAGAGAAACCAAGTTTTTACTGGCAGCAGCCCCATCCACTGCAGCAGATACCTCTCACCAGTTTTCTTCCATCTTCGCACTAGCTCCTTGTTGTGGCTGGCACCAGATATTAAGCTTCCTGACAGACGGATTTGGGTGACCAGGTAATCAGCTGCCCAGCTGGAACAGCAGCGTGCAACATCAGAGAGGACCAGAGAAAAGGAGTGGATAGGTGGTAAAAGGCAATATCTTCCTGTTCCCCTTACCATCACTGGACTGCCCCTTCATTTCCATCGGTGCCCTCACCCAGACTGACCTCTCTTAGCTCATGAAAGCTGAGAGGATTGCAGCCTTCATGGCTGCAAACAGGTCTTCTAATCACTTAATTGTATGAGTCAGGCATCAGCTTATTGACATGAGGAAGACACACAGGAGCATCCATAGGGCAGAGATGGAGCCACAGTTTTCAGACCTTCTGAAAAGCAGACATGCACAGCTAATATTTTCCACCAGCAACAAAGTGGATGGACAGGTCTGACCAACAGAGGGGGGCAAACCTTCCTGCTTTCATCACTTCTACCTCAATTAACAAGAAAAATCTTGTGGATCTAAATGTCTCAAGAGAGTAACAGACTAAAATAAAGATACTGGCTTTCACACTAGAGCAATTAGTATTTTTCCTAAGGAATTCTAGATTATTTATTGGAAAACTGCTTGGTTATGGGATCAAATGCAGCAGACGTAGCTCAGTGTAATTGGATAAGCAGAACTGTATTAAGACTTTACACCAGTTCAAGAATACGTCTCATATTACATGGCTTTTCTTCACCTTCTTTGGTTGTAATTTTGCTTTCAGGCATCTATGCCAGTATTTGGACTAAAGTGGGTGCACAGTCTATCCCATGAGAACTTACTGGGTTTTTTTTACAGAATAGAGTTCTGTAGACTTCTATACGGTCTACAAGTTGTTATTCAGACCTGGCTAGTACCTATATATTCCAGGTGAAGACAAGGCCCTGTTGTGCTCAAAGGCCAGAAGGATCTTCTTCCTTGAAAATCCTGTCGTAGAAACAGACAAGAGGGAAAATAACATCTCCCTCAACAGACTGAGAAGGTACATAAATTTTTGGCCTTGACCAGCTGGCATGAGAATCAAGATTTTCAGGTAGCCTGCCCCAAGAGATCTGTCTTTCGTCTAAGACTCTGATGGCGCCAGTGAGACAATGAGCTTGGACTTTCTCCATGCAGGTCCTGATTGCCTTTCACACAGCCCAGTTCCACTTAGTGTACCTCTGCTATTTTCAGAAACATTCATTCCTGGCAGAAGTGAAGAACAAATCAGGCCTGTAATCAAGTACCTGCTTAGTAGAGAGCTGTGCACACAAACCGTAGTAGTGTGCTAGCACATCATACAGTGCTGTACGCCAGACTGCTCCATTAACGTTCACCAGCAGAATCCAGGCTTCGAAGAATGTTGTTTTTTGGCTTATACATGCTGCTCGTGAGTCTCGGTGGTTTTGAGCTACCTTAGTCTTTGCGTTTCCACCAATGATTCGGAATGCGTCCCACCACTTCAGATCAGCTGTATCATTGAGCATGCTACAGGATAGATTTACATGAACTTTAAATGGATTTGGGGGCGGAGTCTTACATAACTTCTTAATTATTAAAAGCATCTAATCTCTCTGCTAACTTTTACAGACTTCCAAGTGCCACTTCTCTTCTGCAGGTGAAACATAATCTGGTATATTGGCATTATTTGTTACAGCTCTGCATTATCAACTAACACCATACCTAGGTACCTCAGGAAACACTGTGATGCCCAGATATGATTTTGTCTATTGGAAAATGTCCTTAAAAATAGGCTACAGACCCAGCTCCATTTTAACCAGCTGGATATTGCTTCCTCCTCATATTGCCTCCTGTGTATATTATTTATTACCTGAGCTAACTGTATTACCTGTAATGGACCCATCCTTACAGCTTATAGGAGCTAGTAATTTGAGCCCATGCAGGCAGAGCTTTGTGTCCACAGGGATCCCAACGGGACCTGGCTCTACATTCCCATACTGTTCAAAAATTAGTGTGTATGCATTTCTGTTTTAGCATTTAATAGGTACAGAATGTAATGTGGATATAAAGTAGCATAATTTTCATCAAGTTTTCATTCCCCTCTCCCAGAGATAAGTGTATACAAAGCAGTGGGTTTGCTATCTATCCAGGGAGCTGATTAATTGGTTGTAAAGCATCATGGCAAAAAGCAGTTCAACAGTTGCTTCTCTTGGAATATTCTGTGATCCCACTTTATTAGCAAAAAGTTACCAGGAGCTCTATGTGGTTGCACCATTGCCCTATGCCAAGTAAGCATAGATTACACTGAGATCTGTGCAGCCATGGACATTGGAGCAAAATGATCAAGCAAATCAAGCAAAGAGCAATTCATCTGTTCAAATGGATGGGGTGGTTATGCAGTCAAAAAAACCTACAGGCACAGCACCTCAAAACTTTTATGCACGGACTAGTGTGCAAACAAAAGCCTGTATGAAGTAGCATCTCCCCTGCTAGAGAGCTTATGCACATCAACTGAGAACAACTTTTTAAAAATATTTTTTTGTTTTAAATTTCTGCAATCTAATAGTTTTTAAATTAGTCAGTCCAGAAACTGTGGCATTCAGGTTGTTTCCTCTTTTGTAACTGGAGGCAGTTTCTAAATGAAGTTCTGAGATTAACATAAGATACTAGCAGGGTAAGAAGGATAAGTATTTGATAGCCATTGATACATTACTTAGAAATTAGGAAATGCCATCCCAAAGGAGTGACTAAGAAGAATGGGGTGATTTAACGTTTCCTATCTGAAGACGTTATTCTATGTGAATACTAAAGCACGCTGTATGCATGAAGAAAGACCTTATCATTACTTTTCCCCTCTTGTCAGGGTTAAAATGTAGTGCAGAAAAGTTTGACTGACCTGTGTAAAGCTGTTCAAGATGGAGTCAGGGCTCCTGACCCCTCTCCCTTTTGAGTAAAATCAGGCATATAACATTAGTGTAGGTTACATATAAAATTCCTCGTTTGGCACTTCAATTGAGCCAAAGTAAGCAGATGAACACAATCTAATATAATCTTATTCTCTTTGGTCTGCCTATAGCTGTTTCATTAAAAAGGCAACTACTTAGTGAAAATTTGCCCAAAGTTTAAACCAGCACATGTATTTCTCAGCCTTACTGGTAAAGTTTTACAACACCCAAGTTTTGGGACATAGCAGCCACACTGCTCCCTGTATAAACTCAGTATCTTTGATGGCTTAGCCACAGTGCATCAGTACATCTCTCTGTGATATAGACAACTGCTATTCTTGCCCATCATGACACAGTGCGTGATCTTAATTCACAAACTAGTAGGAACACTGTACTTTATTGAGTCATTTAATAAATCCATTTCCCCCTCTCACACAAGAGAAACTGTTGTGTCATAAACAGGCTAAAGGAAGAAAAAGATTTGAACTCCCTCCAATAATAATTACACTTCCATCCAATTATCATCAGCAAAAAAAAGTCCTTTCTCAGATGGTATTAGTCATCA